GAGCAGGGTTGTTCCTCTGCTGGTCCTCAAGGATGAAAACAGGGCCTGGTACCTACCAGGGGCTCAGTGAATATTCGATGAACAAGGGAAGGGCGGGAGGAGAGAGGGAAGGAGTTGGATCTGCTGAGGACACCCGATATGATGCAGTACTATCCTCTCTTCTCCCTTGGGCTGTTTGGGAACTCCCGTCACCCCTTTCCAGCCCCCCAGTTACTCTCCTCCAAACCCGCAACTCAGATCCTGATTATAGACATGCGTTAAATGGGCGCACCCAGGGGTGATGTTCCAGCCATCTCACCCTTCAAAAGCAGCTTTTCTGTCTACCCATGCTTCTCACCTGCTTTGGGCCTCAGATGGGATTTTTTTTTTTTTTTTTTTGGTGTTATCTGTATGCAGCTAGCTAATGCTGCACAGAAAGAAAAAATTCCAACAGCACTAAGGCTAACAGTGAAAAGCAAGCCTCCCCTCTCCCTGTCTTCCAGTCCTCTGCTCCCCAGTTTCCCTTCTGCATATCCTTCCAGAGAGCCGCGCAGTCACACAGATGGTAACGCCATGTACACATTGTTCCCTATTTTGCTTTTTTTCACTTAACAATGTGTCTTGCAACTTATGCCACATCAGTACATATGGAAATGCCTCATTCTTTTAAAGGCTGCAACATAGGCCCTGGTTTCGAAAAGGCCCGGCTGATTTAAGCAGTCCTCTTCTAACGTCCCTGGGTGGTGCAACTGGTTAAGTGCTCAACTATTAACTGAAAGGTTGGAGGTTTCAATCTACCTAGTGGTGCCTCTGGAGAAAGGCCTGGTGATCTGCTTCTGAACGGTCATAGCCTTGAAAACCCTATGGAGTACACCTTTACTCTGCACACATGGGGTCGCCATGAGTCGGGAATCAACCTGAAGGCAACTGGTTTGGTTTTGGTCTTCTCCTGATGGATAGCCAGGCTGTTTCCAATTCTGGCTTCTATAAACCATGCCGCACTGAAAATCCTCAGGCACAGGTGTGCATATCTATAGCCTAAATTCTGAGAAATGAAATTGTCTGGTAGAAGATACATACTGCTAAATTTTCATAGAGGTTGCCAGGTTGCCATGCACAGAGGTTGTATCGATTTACATCTCCACCACTGTGTATGAAAGATAGCAGATTTGTCTGTCTGTCTGATATAATACTTCTCTGCCTCAGTGTTCAACTGCCTTAACTAGGGTGGTAATTTTTCAAATCTTAGAGTCCAAGCTGGGCAGTCACAGCCTGGGGTTTCAGGTCTGCTATCTGTCCTGAGCAAACATCTACCCTAGGGGCACAAACTGTGCCTGGGAGTCAGAAAGCCGAATCAGGCCATCTCTTCAGACCTCAGTTTCATCTAAAAATGAGGGACAGGACAGTTTAGCTGGTGATCTAAAAGTTCCCTCCATCTCTAACATTGAAAGTTACTTTGCCTTGCTGCCCTCTCAGATAAAACTACTGGTCTTATCAGGAGCAAAAGAGTAAGAAGGTAACCAAAATCTCAGAGAAAAAACAACTCTACAAGTCTGATAGCCTACATGAGCCACGACCTTATCTACCCTGAGACCAGAAGAACTAGATGGTGCCCAGTTACCACCACTGACCATTTCAACTGGGGTCACAATAGATGGTCCCGGATAGAATTCGAGAAAAATGTAGAACAAAACTCAAATTCTTAAAAACAGCCCAGACTAACTGGACCAGTTGAGACCAAAGGATTTCCTAAGACTATCACCCTGAGACACTCTCTAAACCTTGAACCGAAACTATCCCCGGAGATCACCTTTTAGCAAAATAGCAGAGTGGCACACAAAATAAAGGTCAACATTTACTCTAAACCAAAGATGAGAAGATAAGGGGACAGGGAAACTAGAGTACTGGAAATGGAACAACCAGAACACAAAGAGAATGTTGACACATTGTGAAAATGTAACTAATGTCACTGATCAATTTGTGTGGAAACTGTCAGATGGGAACCTAACTTGCTGTGTAAACTTTCACCAAAAACACAATAAAATATTATTTAAAGTAAAACAAAACAAACTTATTTTGCCTCCCCAGGACTCTGTGTCCCTATCTACAAAGTGGGACTAACAGCTTCTACCTTGATTATCTTGCCAGCTGGCGTGAGGGTGCAATGAGATGGTGAGTGTGGATGTGCCAGGCAAAGCTGGGTGTTCCACCAAAGGAAGGAGTAATAATTAAACACTTTTGGAATTCTTCCCCTGACCACTCGCATGGCTTGGGGCATATAACAAGTGCTCATTTAAAGTTTTAGACTGAAGAAATATTGTATGGGGAAACAAAATAACATGATACTATCCAGAGGTAGGAGATGCCTTCATCGATGTTGTTCCCTCTGTCTAAAGTGCTGTTTCTTCTGAGTTGGCCTGGCTAACTCCTCCTCATTCCTCAAGCTGCGGCTCACAAAGCCCCTCTGTAAACCTCCTGGACGTCTCATGGCTGACTCAGTGGCTCCTGCTCTATATTTCCCACTTCAGCACTTCTCACCCTGACCTTCATCCTCACCTGCACCACCCTATATAGTAACTACATTTCCAAATCTGTCTCCCTCACTGCCTGTTAACTCCTCCAGAGCTGGGGATGGGCCTGATTCACTTCTGTGTGTTCAAGATGGAGCAAGGGGCCTGGCACACAGTGGGTGCTCAATAAATGTTTCAGGATGGAGGCTGTGTGCATGGGTAGATGTGGCAGTGCTCCCTCCCAAGGGGTCATGTGAATGCTGGTGTCTGTACTTTTCTCCTCCCTGCATCCCCACCCCTCCTTTGCCTGAGTGAGGTGGACCCCAGCTGACCTCTAGTCCAGGGGTTTCAAACTCCAATGCCCCTCCTCAGTGGCAGGGGAAACATACCCCGGAGTAGTAGGCAGTGATGAAGAGTGTGGCGATCAGAGGTAGCAGGCTCAGCTCCAGCTGGCTGTGGCCAGAAGATTTTCGAGAAAAACCATAATCCAACTTTTCCCTGAATTCTCTTGGTTTTTAAATGTTGGCTATTCAGGTTTTTTTCAAAACCATGTATAGACTGGTTGTAGCCCACAGGCCATCAGTTTTATAATTCGGAAAACTGTCCCCCGCCCCTATTTTAAACCCCCTCCCCCACCAAAAAAAACCAAACCCGTTGCTGTTGAGTCCATTCCAACTCATAGTAGAACTGCCCCATAGGGTTTCCAAGGAGTGGCTGGTGGATTCGAACTGCCCACCTTGTGGTTAGTAGCCAGCTCTTAGCCACTATGCCACCAGGGCTCCTCCTCCGTTCTACAGGTGAGAAAATCAAAGCTCAGAGAGAGGGGGCCATTTGCAAGAGGAGACATAGTCAAGGTCAGAGCCCAGGTCCTGCTTGTCCCCACCTTCTCTGTCTCTTCGTCTCTGTCTTTCTGTCTCTTTGGATGTGTGTCTGCTCTGTATCTCTCTCTCCGTGTCTATCACTGCACTGCCTCAGTCTTTCTATCTCAGGGAGGGTATGTCCGTTTTATTGCACGATTGTCAGTATTTTCTGGCTCTCGGTCTTGCTCTTTGCCTCATAAACGAAGGTTCTTGTTCACAAAGACTTCCAGAACTGGGTCAGAAACCACACCACACCGCATCCCACCCTGCAGCTCCTGCCTCCTCCCGCCCCAGCGCCCCCCCTCCCGGCCCCAGATTTCCGGCGGAGCAGACTAGCCGCGGGTCCCGGCGGGGCTGGCTGCCGTCAGCGCCCTTTTCGCGGCGGCGGCGACCCCTCCCCGCTGACCTCACCCGCGCCGCCGCCTCGCGCGCGTGTATAAGAAGCGGCCCCGCCAACGAGCGGGCAGCCAGCGCCCCGGGTCCTGCGAGCGCTCCCGGACTCCTGACTCGTGGACCTCGGAATTCTGGACGCGGAACCCCGGTTCCCCGGACCCGTCCCGTGAAGCCCGCGCCGAGCAGGTAACCACCTCCGTCTCCCTTCACAGGCGGCGTCCCGCAGCACTGGAAAGAGGGCTCATTCCGCTCGCCTCTCGGTCCCGGTGGGGAGCGTGGCTGCGGCGCCAGGTGGGCGCGGGGACTAGCAGCCGCTTAGTCCCCGGAGCGCTTCCACGAGCGCGGGGTCCCCGCACAGGGGCGGGCCCTGCGCTCGCCTTTCCCCCGGGGGCTCGCAGAAGCGCAGCCCAGTGACCCGACGGGACGTCCGCTCCTGCGCAACCACATTCCGGCCTCTGCAGCGCTCCGCGTCCACTGTCGGGTTGGGAGAGTCGCCTGGATCCCCGCTGTAGATCCACGCCAGATGTTCCGGGCAGAGCTCGGCAGTCTGGGCGCCGGCGCCCGAGCTGGGGAGTTAGAATCCGAATCTTGAGGTTGGAAAGAGAATTTTCACTTTGGAATCCGAATTGTAGCTAGACATGAAATCTTAGGGGCTAGAAAGCGTATCTTAGCATTGAAACGAAGATTTTAGCGTTAGAATACGATTCCTAGAGGTAGTCGTAGAAGCTTAGCATTAGAAATAGAATCTGAGCGCTCCAGAAAGAATTTTAGCTTTAGGACCTGAATCTTAGCACTAAAAATAGAATCTTAGCACTGGAATTAGAATGTTGGCGATTGAGCGTTGGAATTAGAATGTTACGATGGGAACCTTGGCCTCCAGGCCGTTGGGCCCTGGCGCTGAAATCTTGATGGTGACACTCTTGGCGAATGTGCCCCAGCACTGGCCTCCCCGGGGGCTGATGTTCCCACGGCCTCCCAGCTCGCGGGCAAGTAAATCCTAGGCACCCCTATGGGCGAGGACGCCTAGACATGACGGGTGTGAACCCAGAGCCCTGGGCGGATACCAGCTCTGCGCCGCGCTAAGGTGGTAGGTGGTGGTCCTGCCCCCGGCAGGGTGGTTGAATAGCGCCTCATTAGTTCCCCTCCCCCGGCAGACGGCCTGGGGACCCCCTGGGAGTGGAAGAGGGGAGTCGGAGCGGGTTAGGCGGGGGCGCGGCGCGCTCACATTCTTCCTCTGTCCCTGACCCCAGCCGCCGCGATGCCGGCCCCTTGGTTGCTGCTCGTCTTGGGTTTGACCCTGACCGGTGTACCTGGCGGCCGCGCCCAGCCCGAGGTGGCCCAGAAGGAGGCGGCCACGGCAGCCGAGCACCCGGGCCTGTATGACGTCCTGCGCCAGGCGGAGCGCCTCCTCCTCCTCCGGGAAGACCTCCAGCGGCTGCGAGCCGACCAGGGCGAGCCCGATGCAGGTAAGGTGGGGGAGGCTGTCCTGCAACTGCAGGGGCCAGACGAGGCCGCAGGGAGAGCCAGTTTAAGCTGGAGGAAACCTAGACTCAGAGGAAGGCCGAAGGAGAGAGCGACTTGGTCTTTCAGCCTCCTGCCCTTCAGAAGCTCAGAACCCTCATTGGTCACACCCTTGCCTGGGGCCTTGAGTCTTGACCCTTCCCTGGGAGAGGAGGGTTAGATTCCTCTCCCGTCTCATTGTTGGGAATGTTTCCCAGAGAGCAGAAATTCAGCAGGGAAGATTTTGTGCATGCAAGAGAGAGAAAGTCTCTTTGTGTGTGACAGTTTTAATTATTGCTCATTAGGTACTTATATGCCAAGCACTGTTCTAAGCACATCAAGCACATTATCATACTATTTGATTTTCCTAACAATCTCTGAGGTAGGTACAGTTATTATCCCCATTTTACACAGAAGAAAACTGAGGCTCAGGGAGGTTAAGTGAGTTGCTTATGGTTACGACCCTGGGTAGGTGCCACAAGGGAGTCTGTCTTGACTGGGAAGAAGGCTAGGGTGGGCGCTCATGTGGTGCACCTGTCACAGGGGCTACGTGATCTCTCACTGACCTCTTCTCTTTCCTAGAGCCCCAGACCCTTCACCTTGACTGGCTCTCCAAGCGTCAGCATCCAGGCAAAAGGGAGAAAGAGGCAGAAGAGGGAGTTGAAAAGGAGGAGGAGGAGGAAGAAAGGGAGATCGTGGGACCCCAAAAACGGCAGCACCCTGGCCGGCGGGAGGACGAGGCTTCATGGTCAGTCGATGTAACCCAACACAAGCGGCAGCACCCTGGCCGGCGCTCCCCCTGGCTTGAGTACGCTATCACCAAGAGGCAACACCCAGGCAGAGGGCTGGTGGATCCCAAGGCCCAGAGGAGCTGGGAAGAGGAAGAGGACGAGGGAGAGCTGATGCCTGAGAAACACCAGCATCAGGGCAAGGGGGCCTTGGAAGGCCCATGTGGGCCCTGGGGAGCCTGTGACCAAGCGACCTTCCTGCTCCGGCTCCTGGGTGACCTAAGCAGGGGCCAGGGAGCCAAGGAGAAGCGGCAGCACCCTGGGAGGCGGGCAGCCTGGGCCAGGGAACCCGTAGAGGAGTAAGACCAGTTCCCTGTAAAACTGAATGTGGGGTCTAAGAATGTCCTAAGCTCTGTGTGCCCTACTCTTTTATGACCCCCTTTCCCCCCCCCCTCCTTAGAACCCTGATCATAAACCTGAGCCCCTGAATACACACCCTCCCAGGGCTCTGGCCTTGCCCCCCTCCTTCAGGGACATAAGAAAGCCAGCTTATGAGTTAAAATCCCATATTACCTGACTCTGCACCACTGGCAAGAGGCAGATCCCAGAGCTCTCCTCCTCCCTCCCACTGCACTTCGCAGGCCTCCTCCCTTTCCTCAGCCCTGGCCTGTCTGTGTCTTCTAAGGGATCCCCAAAGTAGGGAAGGGTGCCTCTGAAGCAAGCAGCCAGTGAGGGGTGGGGAAGGATAGAAGTTGTGATGTCCCAATTCAGCTTCCATGCCCTGCCCCATATGAAGGTTTTACCATGTGTAAACTTCACCCCAGGACCAGGATCTCCTCCCCTTCTTGGGCATCCTTTTTAGGGTGGGTAGAGCCCTGACCCACATCTGTGTTCTGCTTAGGGCAAGCATTTAGGTAGAGGTGCCTGTGGTGCTGTGCTGTGTGGTGGCTGTGGGAATACGTGTGTGTAAATAGGAATGTTTTAACATCGCCCTGGAAGTCATGGCTTGTACATAACCCTCTAGGCACTTTCCTCTTGTCAACAATAATCATCCTACTGATAATAAAACATGCATCTAGATCGTCTTGGAGTTCTGTGGTTGTAGTCTGTCCCAGTTGGTGTGTTTGGGGTTTCTCTTTTCAGCATTGAGAGAGTGTTTAAAATGGATGGGACTAGAACTCCCCAGCTCTGCTGAGACAGGAATCAGGGGCCCTGGGGGGTGAAAAGTCCTCTCCACTGCCTCCATCTCAGAACACGCTTGGGAGGTGGACAGGGATTCTCGAGCCCATTTGACCTCTGGGGAAACCAGGTCTAGCAAAGAGGAAGAGCTTGCCCAAAGATACACAGCTGGCCTGAGGAGGAGCCAGGGTTTGGGAGGCTAGTTCAGGGCCCTGCCTTGAGTTTTCGGATTTGGGGGTGAGGAGGGCTGGTATGCCTCCCTTTTGTAATCCCCATGGTTCTGGGCAGGAATTGATAGTTTGCCTGTGTCACCTGAAAGGCATGAAGAGGACAAAGGACCAGGCTGCAATTGGGGACTCAAACCAGGAGTCTTCTGGGGCCAGGCAGGGAAGTGGGCTGGGTGTAGGACAAGAGGAAGTGGTGGAGACTGGGACAAACTGATAGACCACCTGAAGGTATCTGAATACAAAAAGTTTAAGAAACATTGTGTGAACAAAACAATAATAATAAAAACATGTTCACAACACTTACTATGTATCAGGCACTGACTTAAGCACTCCATATATGTTAATTCTTTTAAACCTCACAACAACCCTACTAGGTGTTACTGTTATTACCCATTTTACTAATGAGGAAACCAAGGGTCAGAAAGATTGAGTAGCTTGTCTGGGACTGAATTTGGTCCACTCATTGACAGTTTGTGACCTCTGACTTAAAAGAACTCCAAAATTTCCTTAGGTCCTAGGCTCTGAATTGGTTAGACCACCATCTGTTTGGTGGATGAATGGGCTTTTCGACTTTCCTACAAAAAGCTTTTGGTCATCTTTCGGGGAAGGGGGAAGAGAAGGCTAGAAGGGTAACTGTGACCCAGCTCCTCTCCTTGGGGAGCTATCTTAGTTTCCTAGTGTTGCTGTAACAGAAATATCACAAGTGGGTGGCTTTAAAGAACCGAAATTTACTTTCTCACAGTTCTGGTGGCTGAAAGTCCAAATCAGGGTCTTGGCTGTGTGAATTCCTTCTGTGAGCCTCTCTCCTAGTTTCTGGTGTTTGCCAGTGATCCTTGGCATTCCGTTACTCTGGACAGGTCCTCACATGTTATCTGTCTTCTCCCTGCATCCATTTTGCTCTTTTTATAACTCAGAAGTGATTAGGTTTAGGAACCCCCTACTCTGGCCTGATCTAATTAACATGAAAAAAGACAATCTCTACTTTCAAACGGGGTCACATTTATAGGAGCAGGGGTTAGAACTTCAACACATATTATGGGGGGCACAATTCATTCCATAACAGGAGCTCACAGTTCAGGTGGGGCAGGGACTGGTCAGGGATGAGGAGAGAGGAAAATGGGAGTTTGCAAGATGCATTCGCACCCATCATCTTCATTAATGCTCTGAAGAGCCCGCTAAGATACCATGCATTTTACAGATGAGAAACCAACACATCTTCATTTTCAGATGAGGGAACCAAACAGAGAGACTAGGGTCATGCCCAAGCTGCATGAAGTATGTGGAGCTGAACCTCCACCAGGGCTTATCTTTCTGCAACATCAGGCTATCTTCTTCCGGAAGCTCTTAAATACCCCACTGTCCCATCAGAGGCAAGTGGGGCCCTGGTAAGTTTCTCTCTATTCACAGAATCCTTCCAAGGGCGGCCACTCTAATAGAATAGCGAGCACTTACAGAACATTTCTTCAGTGCTAAACGCTCGCAGAGCCTTTCTCACTGAATCCCCACAACCAACCCAGGAGGCAGGGCCATCATGACCATTTGCAGTTGAGAAAACTGAGTGTGGAGAAGTTAAGCCACTTGCCCAAGGGTGCACCCTGCTCTCTCCTGCTTCCCAGTTTGATTGGTATGGGATGTTATTTCCTCCTCAGAAATGGGACCACCTGAAGAGTGATAAGCCCAACCCTCAGCTATCTAATGTCTTCCCTTCTGTTCCTGAAAGTGGTCGAACCAGTGCACCATGATGGAAAGGGCCTGGGCATTGGCTTCAGTCCTGGACAAATAACTAAAACTGTTTCAGCCTCAGTTTTCTCATCTGTAATATGAGCATGATAATCCCTGCACGCTACCCACCCCAGAGTTGTTCTAAGGATTAAGTGAAATGGAGTGATACGTGTACAGCCCCTGGCACTGAGTAGACATTTGGTAAGTGGCATTTTAAGCTGTAGTGTTCCAGGACCAAAAAGGATTCAAAATGGAACCTTGAAGACCCACTTGTTTCTTCCTTGCTTCAATCCTTAATCACAAAAAAATAACCGGTCACTGGGGCTTTATTGCTTGCCCTTGCAAGGCACTGGGGCTTTATCCTCAAGCAGTCTACTTGCTGCTCCTCAAATATCCCCCTTCTTTCCCCTCTCACACAAGTCTTTCTCTTATCTACATCTCTCAGCCTCCCTTGCAGGTAAGGTGGAGTCATGTGACTGCTCCTGGCCAATTGACTATGAGCAGAATTGTATCTTTTCCTGGCTGAGACAGTTAAGAATCAGTGTGCCTCCTTCATCTTTCTTCCTGCCAGGGTTGAGGAGGTCACTTGCTGAAATAGCAGAGCCGCAAGACAGAGGGATCCTGGACTCTGGCATCACCAGGCAGAGGTTAGACATGGCTCACCCACATCAGACTTCTCATGAGCAAGAAATAAACTCGTGTTAAGCCACTTAGATTTCAGGGTTTATTTGTTACCATAGCAAAACTTAGCCAATTTAGATTAACACAGATGCCTTCCCTCTGTTCTCTCTTCACTGAAATCCTTCCCATCTTCCCCTTCTCATATGTGTCAGCCTTGGTCAATGCTGCCTCCATCAGGGCCTGGCACGAAGTAGGAGCTCAATAAATGGAACGGATATTGAAAGCTTCAGTTCCCTTCTATTTTGGTTCCCCAGCCTCACTTTCCAGGGTTCTCTATCCTTAAGGGGCTCCCTATGCAGTGGGACACAGACAAGCAAACACACGATGACAACTTAGTGTGAGTGGTGTTGATTGTGGTAAGCAAAAAATGCAAGGAGGGCACAGATGAGAAAGCAACTTGGTCTGGTTGGGCAAACAAGACTTCCTGGAGGAGGAGATATCCAAGCTGGTTCAAAGGATAAATAAGAGGAAAGAAGTTTAAGACAGAAGGAAAGAGCATTGACAAAGGCCTGGTGGGGAGAAATAATATACTCTTGGAGTTGCTAACATTTAAAATCTGAGGTGTTTTGGATCCTTCCTTCCCTCCCCCACCCTATCTTCTATCCCTGACGGTGATGAACCTTGTGCCTTGTCCAATCCTCCCCTTTTCTTGGTTCAATCTAGTCCCCAAATAGGGACTCTGATTACCACAGCTTAGAAATGTGAAAGAGCAGTATGGGTTAGGATGGAATCAGGGAAGCCTCTCTGGAGGAAGAGGCACTTGGGTTGAGCTTTGAAGGAGAAAAGAAAAATAAAAAATTTACTGAGCACTTACTCTGGGGCTGGACATTGGGAAAGCACTTTATAAATATATGTTGCATGAAATAATAGTCACCCATCATGATCATCCCCAGTTTAAAGAAGAGGAAACAAGGAGAGAAGGCAACTTTTCTAAGTCATGAGCCTGAACTTAGTTGCCTCTATGCCTCCCCTCAGCCATGTCTAATTCTAACCATGCCCCGTAGATCGTCGTACCTCCTAAGCATGTCTCACATCCACCCATTTCCCTCCATCTCCTCTCCCACCACCCTGTTCCTGGACATCATCCTCCCTCATCGCACAACTGCAGTAGCCTTCTCTCTGGTCTCCTGGTTTCCACTCTTGCCCCCCAAATTCATTCTCCACACAGCAGCCAGAGGCACCTCCTTGAAGTATGAATGTGATCATGGTATCATCTGCTAGAAACTCATCAATGGTTCCCATTTTTCCTGAGAAAAAATACAAACTCCTTACCATAGCCACAGTAGCCTGCTCAGATGGCCTCCATTTTGTTTCCTGAACATACCTCAGGGCCTTTGTTCAAGTTATTCCCTCTGCTTAGAATCTTCTTTTCTCCTTCCCCTCATCTTCCCTGCTTTATCTCCTAGAGTGTCGTCCTGTAGTGTAGGGGTTGGACAGCAAATACTACATTTCCCAGACTCCCCTGCAGCTAGAGTTTTGGATGCATAGTAAGTTCTCCAGTGGATGCTCTTGTGTGAGATTTGGAAGGTTGCTTTGACAATTTCTGCTAGAAAG